CGGCTCTGCTCGGCTCTGCTCGGCTCTGCTCGGCTCCGCTCGGCTCCGCTCGGCTCCGCTCGGCTCCGCTCGGCTCCGCTCGGCTCTGCTCGGCTCTGCTCGGCTCCGCTCGGCTCCGCTCGGCTCCGCTCGGCTCCGCTCGGCTCCGCTCGGCTCCGCTCGGCTCCGCTCGGCTCCGCTCGGCTCCGCTCGGCTCTGCTCGGCTCTGCTGGGCTCCGCTCGGCACGGCGCGCTCCTCGCTCAATCCCGACATGACAGGCATGGAATGAATCATGGCGCGATTGGCCTGTTGGGCCGCGGGGCTGTGGGTCCCTTGGTGGGTCCCTTGGTGGGCCCTGCCCCGTGGGGGGCCCCGGCCCCGTCGTGGGGCGGCGCGACGCTGAAAACCTGGGGCGCTCCCTGGCAGGCACTTCGCGCCGCGACGGCCCGCCCTCCTCGCCGCGCTGCTCCTCCGTGGACCGTCGCTCTGTCTCTCTCGCACCCACGCGCATAGCTACGCGCAGCGGCGCTGCGTCCCGTGAGTGCGAGAGGGACGGCCTGACGACCGCACTGCGCGGAGTCGGCCAGCAGGCAGGCCCTGCCGTCGGCCGTGCCCGCCGTGCCGGCCGCCGCGACGTACACTGTATCGCGGCCGAACATCGCGCTGCTGCGCTGCTCGGTGCTTGGCGGTGCTCGGTGCGCGTCTGCGTCTGGACCGAGGAGGCCATTATCGGAATTCGCTACATCAGGCCTGCCAGCCAGCAGCCAGCCTGCCGCGGAGTGCCCGTGTTGCCTGCAGTGGTTGCGGGGGCACCTACGGCTGCAGACGGATTCCGAGAGTCGTTTTCGTCGCTCTGTCTCTCTCGCACCCGTACGGAGCGTCCGATTAGTGCGAGAGAGACAGAGCGACGGCAACATCTGGCCCAACACCGGCCACGTCTTCCAAGGCGAGGTCCTTGGCTTACAGTGAGCTGTTTTCGAACGCCTTTGCGGGACGCCGTGCGGGCGGCATTGTACGCCGAAGTGGAGACACTGTCCTGAGTGCACCGTTTGCTGAGTCAGAGCGAGATAGACTCACAAAGACGGGGCGAGCCTGCAGTGGGGCCTGCTGTAGCGCCTGCGAGGTAGGCACTCCCTTGGCCTGCGCCGCACCAGTGTCGCGGTGTTTGCCTACCCGCCCGTCGCAGGGGCTCTGCAGCTCGGCTCGCTTCTTTTATCCGTCATTGATAGAGCGTTGTCGGGGCCGGTTGTCTGATTCCCGACGGCGCCTCGTCGCTCTCTCTCTCTCTCTCTCTCTCTCTCTCTCTCTCTCTCTCTCGCTCTCTCTCTCTCTCTCTCTCTCTCTCTCTCTCTCTCTCTCTCTCTCTCTCTCTCTCTCTCTCTCTCTCTCTCTCTCTCTCTCTCTCCCTCCTGGACCCAGGAGGGGGAGAGGGAGGGAGGGAGAGAGCGACACGCTAATGACCCGCGAGATGGCCCCCCTGCCTCGCAGTCTCTCCGAGTCTCGCAGTTGAGTCGTTTATGCGCGGGTCCTGCTTCCGATAGCCCACCGGAAGTGTTTCTCCCGAGCGGTGCTTATCGAAGGGTTTACTGCCCGACCGTGGCTGCAGGCCGAGGCACGGCCAGGCGGCGACCCTCGTAGCGCACCGCCCGGCACGCCCCGCACCGGGCCAGGGCCTCGCCGGGGCCTCGCCGGGGCCTAGCCCAACGCGTTACTCACGCCCGAATCTAGATAGGCCTGACTCGGCCCGCCACGGCACGCCACGCCACGCCACGCCAAGCGCGCGCCGCTCCGACTCGATTCGACTCGAGTCAATTCAAATCGCGCGCGCACGCCGCGAGGGGCGCGGCCGTACAGGCCGGCGAGCGTATTGTGCTCGTAACGCCCCGAGGGCCCGAAGGCCCGAAGGGCACGGCCTGGCCCGGCGGTCCGCGCTCGGAAGAAAATAAAAACACAAACACACAGAGCGCGTGTAGCGTGACGTGAGTGAGAGGCGATTGCCTCTGATAGCACGCCGCGCCCTCGCAGTCTCAGCCTCGCTCGCCCTTCTTGCTGCTCTGGAAATCAAAGGGTTGCTGAAAAAGAGGCCCTTCGGAACGAAGAGAGGCCTCCTCTGGCGGGGCCAGCGCGGTGCGGGGCGTGTGGGGCGTACCGCAACGTGGCGGCGAGCCGGCGAACGCCACCACGACGACGAGGAGGACACGATCGGTGGACATAGGATTGCGCGGCGCGGATGGTCCGACACGCCGGCGGAATATTGAAAGCAGCTATTGGGAGCAGAGCAAAACCCGGGGGGGGGCGGGGCGGGGCGGGGCGGGGCGGGGTGTTGGCCTCGCTCGGGCGGGGCGGGGCGGGGCGGGGCGGGGCGACGCCAGGGTCCAAAACTCGTCTCGCGGCGCCAGGACGACGCCGGCCGAGCAGGCGACGCGACTCGCAGCTGCCGAGATCGTGACTTCATTTCGAATCCAAAGAAAGAGTCTGCAAGGCGTTATGAAAAGTGCGGGGGGAGGGGGACGCGTCGGGGGTGACGAGTGACGACTGCCGAGCAGCGCGCCCAGCAGGCAGGTGGCTGCCAGATAAAATCCGGTCGCAGACGCGGCAGCGCGGCAGCATCCACTGGAAGGCAAGGCAAGGCAAGGCAAGGCAAGGCAAGGCTAGGCAAGGCAAGGCAAGGCAAGGCGAGGCTAGGCAAGGCAAGGCGAGGCTAGGCAAGGCAAGGCAAGGCAAGGCAAGGCTAGGCAAGGCAAGGCAAGGCAAGGCAAGGCTAGGCAAGGCAAGGCAAGGCGAGGCTAGGCAAGGCCAGGCAAGGCAAGGCAAGGCAAGGCAAGGCAAGGCAAGGCAAGGCGAGGCTAGGCAAGGCGAGGCAAGGCAAGGCAAGGCTAGGCAAGGCAAGGCGAGGCTAGGCAAGGCAAGGCAAGGCGAGGCTAGGCAAGGCAAGGCAAGGCAAGGCTAGGCAAGGCAAGGCTAGGCAAGGCCAGGCAAGGCAAGGCAAGGCAAGGCAAGGCAAGGCAAGGCCAGGCGAGGCTAGGCAAGGCTAGGCAAGGCAAGGCGAGGCTAGGCAAGGCAAGGCGAGGCTAGGCAAGGCAAGGCAAGGCAAGGCTAGGCAAGGCAAGGCAAGGCAAGGCAAGGCTAGGCAAGGCGAGGCTAGGCAAGGCAAGGCAAGGCAAGGCTAGGCAAGGCAAGGCAAGGCAAGACTAGGCAAGGCCAGGCAAGGCAAGGCAAGGCAAGGCAAGGCTAGGCAAGGCAAGGCAAGGCAAGGCGAGGCTAGGCAAGGCCAGGCAAGGCAAGGCAAGGCAAGGCAAGGCAAGGCAAGGCAAGGCAAGGCAAGGCGAGGCTAGGCAAGGCGAGGCTAGGCAAGGCAAGGCGAGGCAAGGCAAGGCAAGGCTAGGCAAGGCAAGGCGAGGCTAGGCAAGGCAAGGCAAGGCAAGGCAAGGCAAGGCTAGGCAGCAAGGCAAGGCTAGGCAAGGCGGTCATCGCGTGGCGGCTTGGCCTCGAGCCACGGCCACGGCAGAGGGCGCGGCGGGGAGTCTGGCTTCCAGTGGGGATTCTAGCCTCCAGCAGGGAATCCAGCCTCCAGCGGGGCGTGTGGAGGGTGCCGATGAAACGAGAGCCCCCGCGGCCCCGCGCCCCGCGTCACCAAGCGGCAGTCGCGGAGCGCGGCGCTGGGACTGCCTCATGAGACGCAGGCGTCTCGCTCGTGCCGCCGAGTGGAAGGTCTCTGTCCTCTTTCTTACACTTATGCCCACGGCCGCCAGGGCTGAGGCACGAGGCCACACGGTCGTCTCTCTCGCACCGCTACGGGGCGCCCCATGAGTGCGAGGGAGACAGCGAGTCTCTGGCGGTGCCGGCGCATCATCTCTCTGCGCGGGCCTTCGAGTGTGCGACGCCGCGACGCGTGCGGCGGGTCGGACTGGATCAGGCACTTGTGCTCCTCCTCCAGCGTGAATGCCCCGACAAGATGAAGCGCGCCTTATATGTATTCGCGCGGAGGAGATTGAATAACATGAATAAGGCATCCAGCCCGCCGGGCCGCCAGTCATACCGCCGACGCGTTATCCGCGGCGCGGCGGCGCGGCCCGCGTGTTCGTTTGATTTTTGCATACCGCCCTCGCGGCGCGGCGGCGCGGCGACGCGGCAACGCGATGCCAGGGCCATCCCCCGCCCCTCCGTCCGCCCCGGGCCAATAAACCCCCACGTCGGCGATGTGGAGCCCAGATTCCCATTGTGCTAAAAGTGAAACTCCGCAGGGAACTTTCCTATTGACGCGCCGCGCCATGGCCGCCATGGCAGGACTGACCTTCCGCATTCTCGTTCCGAAACAATCGCACAGGTAGGGTGGTGTGGCGCGGCGAAGCGCTGCGAAGCGACGGGGAGCAGGGCAGAGCAGGGCCGCCAGCCTCCGGCGGCGGCCGCTGGGTGGCGCCACTGCCCAGCCGCCCCTCGGCGCGGGGTAGCGCCGCACAGTGGGCCAGAAGACCGGCGCAGGCGGACAAAACTCTGGACGCGTTTCGAGCTCCAGAGTCGCTGAATGGGGCTCGAACCGAGCGTGTGACCCAACCAATGGATTCCTCGTTCGGAGAGCAATGCTTTGGTGGGGTCACACGTCAGGTTCGACTCTGGAGCTCAAAACGCGTCTCGAATTTTGGCCGCCTCCACTGTGCGCCGGCCGGGACCGCGTGGACAGGACGGCGGGGCGATGGACGCGGAGTCGTTCCTGTCACGCCCTCCGCCGCGCGACCTAACCTAACCTAAGCTTAGCTCGATGGAGCGGAAGCGCTCTGCCATAAAATGCCGACTGCGCTCCCGCTTGGAGCCGAAGCAGCGAGGCAGCGGGCCCGCTTTGCGGCCCGCTTTGCGGCCCGCTTGCACGCGGACAAAGAAAACTAACGCGGGGAGTCGATTAAACTTGGCAAATGCCGTCTGCGTTACAACTTTGGTAATCACTGCCGCGCCGCCGATCGTGCCCGGAGCTCGCTGACAGTGTGTGGACGGAGAGCTGACGGCCGTGTTCTTGTTGTTGCAGTACTTGGGCTCGTTCCCCGTGACGGGCCAGGACCACGCCAGCAGGGCCGACAACGTGCGGCTACGCCTCCAGGAACTGCGGGTAAGCTGTCTATCATATCTGCGACCGGTTTGGCCTCGGCCGCGGCGCATCGTCTGTCTGTTGGTCTGGTCGCCACGAGCGCTTCGTTTTGTCGTTATTTTCGCACAGATAGCCGCCACGCCTGGCCGCGCTTCGGCCCGCGGACTGCGCGCTCGCTCTCAACGGGCGAGGGAGGGGCGGCAACGGGAGAGGCACCCTATGCGGACCTTTTGTCCGAACGAAAAAAATGAAACAAATGGAGCTTTTTAGTCTTGTTTGGCATGTGGTTACTTCCGGGCCCAGTCGTCGAGGATCATCTGCGAGCCCTTCTCGGCGATCATGGCGGTGGGCGCGGCCGTGTTGCCGCTGGTGAGGGTGGGCATGATGGAGGCGTCCACGACGCGGAGGTTGGCCACGCCGCGCACGCGCAGCCTGCCGTCCACCACGGCCGTGGCATCGCCCGCGGGGCCCATCTTGGCCGTGCAGCAGGGGTGGTAGCTGGTGCGCGTGTAGCGTCGCAGCATGCACTCGATGTAGGCGTCGGACGCGAAGGTGTGCTGGCGGCAGGGCGCCGCCGGCGTCGTGTTGATGAGGTAGCCCGCCTTGACGAGTGTGGGCGTGGCCGCCAGCGCCATCATCTGGCGGTACGCCTGCACCATGACGTCCACGTCGTAGGGGTCGGCCAGGTAGTTGACGTGGATGCGCGGCTTGGCGAAGGGGTCCTTGGAGTAGAGCGACACGCTGCCGCGGCTGCGCGGCCGCATGATGCTCGCCGCGATGAGCACCGAGTTGTAGAAGGGGTACGAGCCCTTGAAGCAGCCGTTCTTTCGATCGCGCACCAGCCCCGCGCACTTGGCCTTGTCCGCCAGCGTGGACGCGCACTGCACCGAGTCGATGGCGGGGCCCAGCGTGATCTGCAGGTCTGGCCAGTCGTCCGTGGTGTGGTTGCTGCACCCGAAGGCCTGCACGGACATGACGTTGACGGTGGACATGGGCCCGGACTGGTGGTCGTTGTACTCCTGCTGCGCGTCCACCCACGGCCGGATGTCGCCGTTGGCGGGCAGACTGGCCGTCTTGCTGAGCACCAGGTCCAGGAGGTCGCCCGTCAGGTGGTCCTGCAGGTTGCGGCCGACGGGGAGGTCCACTTCCTGGCGGCGGCAAGGGTCGGATCAGAGGCTGCTGTAGAAGCACGCAGCGCCCAGAGCGCTCCACTCACCTGCTTGATGCCCACGGCGTCCAGGGCGTCCTTGGGGCCGATGCCGGACAGCAGCAGCAGCTGCGGCGTGCCGATGGCGCCGGCGCACACGATGACCTCCTTCCTGGCGAACACGGAGATGGGCACGCCGCTGCCGCCCAGCGCGTCGTCCGAGAACTGCACGCCGCGCGCCCTCCGCTTGCCTGCCGAGCCGAGTGCAGTCAGACCGCTGTCCGCGACGAGGGCCTTGGAGGCCACGGTGCTCACTCACCGTCCAGGATGATGCGCGTGACCCTGGCGCGCGGGACGACGCGCAGGTTGGGCCGCTGCCTCCGGATGGGCTCCAGGAAGGCCTTGTTGGTGCTGACGCGGCGCGCGCCGCGCGACGCGAACTCCACGACGAAGACGCCCTTGCGGTGCTCGTCGTCGCCCGTCAGCGCGTCTCCGTAGTTGAGGCCGTAGCCCAGGTCGCCGAACGCGTGGAACATGAGGTGGGCGTTCATGTCGGCCGTGGGGAACCGCTGGTAGCTCTGCGCGCCGCCCGTGGAGTGCAGTTCCTGCGTGGACGAAGAGTCAGGTTGAGCGTAGCGCGGTAAGTCCGGCACACCAACAGACTGCCGCGGCGTGCCGACCCGGACCCACCTTGTTGAAGGACAGCAGCATCTCGCGGTTGTCCTCGAAGCGCTTGAAGTAGGGCAGCACGTCGCTCCAGCCCCAGCCGTCGTTGCCGGCCTGGCGCCAGGCGTCGAAGTCGCGCGTGTTGCCGCGCACGTACATCATGGAGTTGATGGCCGTGCTGCCGCCCAGCGACTTGCCCCGCGGGTACACGCAGCCCTTACCGCCGCAGTTGTGCGGCTCGGGCACCGTCGTGAAGTTCCAGTCCATGGCCGTGCCCAGCAGGTGGTCGTGGATGCCGGGCTCGTCCGTCAGCGAGAAGGGCTCCTCGCCGCCCGCCTCCAGCAGCAGCACGGAGTACCTGTGGGGGGCTGGCCGGCGGCCAGGACCGGGACGAGCGTCAGGCCCATGTAAGAATGCGGTCTAATGTTCCGTGAAATGTTCCTTGATAATTCGTCGGAAGTTCCCTATGATCTTATGACGTATTGGTCACTCAAGTGCAGCAAATATAGGATTTTGATACAATGTTTTCGTTTTTTCATCGCAACTTTCTAACGCTAAACTAACACATTAGACCGCTAGAGTCCTGGTGCTTGCTCTTACCGGCGCTGAGGCGGTTGGCCACGACGGCGCCCGCGCCGCCCGCGCCCACCACGATGAAGTCGAAGCTCTGGCGCTGCAGGTAGAGGGGCGGCGGCCGCGAGGACTGCAGCACCTTGCGGTTCACGGCGGCGTGCACGAGCGCGCTGAAGGCCATGAGGGTGGACATGGCCGGCGAGCAGGCGTGCGGGCCCGCCGCCGCGGCCTGCAGGGCCTCGCGGAGCTGGTACGTGTTGACCATGGCGGCGCCGGTGTGTCCGTGTCCGCTGCGGTCTCGCGGCTCGGGGTAAAAGTCGACGAGCGTGGCTGTGCCCCGCCTCGCCTCGCCCCGCCTCGCCTCGCCTCGCCCCGCCTCGCCCCGCCTCGCCCCGCCCCGCCCCGTCGCGCGCTATCTTAATTTCCTATGCCGGCAAACCGCTGGCGTAGCAAACCGGAAACCGGCATCCCTTGGCGGCCGTGGCCCTGGCCCCGCCTCGCGTTGCCGCCGCCACTTGGCCGCACCTATCGTCATGATCTCGCCGTGCCCCCCGCTGCCCCCCCCCCCCCTCCGGGGCCCGGCCCACGGGCCGCGGAGCCCCCCGGCACGATAATGCCCCGCTACGTGAATAAACAGGGCCGTGCCGGATGAAAAGGGCCAGCGCTTCAGCGTTGCCAGTGCCGGGGACGGCCGGGGAGGAGGGAAGAGAGAGAAAGAGAGAGGGCGGTGAAAGGGTGACGAGTTATTTCAAAGCGCATTCATTGGTGGGAAAATGGAGGCACGGGGCGCTTCTCGCTGCTCCCGTTTTGTTTTTCGGGGCCGAGTGAGAAGTACATTTAGCCCGGCGCGAAAACAAATGTGTGAGGTCGCTGGGTTGGGGGTGGAGGCGCTGCGAGGTGCGGGGTGGGGGGATTACGAACGGCTGTATGCTTGTCCGCGATAATGCGCCGCCTTTTCACGCGCCACGCCGCGCCACTGTGAGTAGTAAAATGCGTCTCGCCGTGATACGGCGTCCTGCGGGCCGGAAATATTTTGACCGATTTATGAAAGGATGTGGCTCTTGGGACTTCCCCGCCGAAAAGTGGCGTGAGTGTGGGTGAGTGTCCGACCGTCTTTTGGGCGGGGAATCCCCGCCGGCGGCGCGCGGCGCGATATGTGGCGTGGGGCAGTCCAGTCGACTAGTGGACGGCGACGCGGACTGGTGTGGCATGGCCATGGCCGACGCCGCCACGCCGCCAGGCCGCCAGGCTGCTGGGGTGGACCTCGGCCAGCCGGAGGAGTGTCGGCGGCGGGGGCGGCGGCGACCAGGGGGTCGTTTGTTTCCCCCAACGAGGTCATTTCGCAGCAGAAATTGGAAGGGTGGGGGAAGGGGGCGTCGAGGGCCTGTCTGCCGACGGCGACGCTGACCAGGCCGGCGAGGCGGGGACGGCGGAGAGGCCGAAGCCTCAGGCTGGCTGCGATGCGTCGGGTCTGCTTTGGTCAAGAAGCAATTTGTCGTGCGCTGCAGCTGTGCTTTGCGTCGGCCCGTATCTCCGCCAAGTGCAGGGACAACAAGGCGGAATGGCCAGCCGGACAGTCCAGGGCCCGCCCGGCCGGCCCCGCCGCCCCCGCCGCCCCCGCCACGCTACGACGTCGTCCCGCGACAGCGATGGCAGATTTGATGGCGCAGTTGGTTCGGCCGGACTGCAGTGTCCATTACACTGGACCCTTTGTAAAGTTTCTTATCTCCGTGACGGTTGTCTGCGGCTCGGCTCGGCTCGGCTCGAGTCCCACGGCTCGCCGCCCGTTTGTTTCTCGCTCGAATGAGTTCCGCTTGACGCGAGCTTGATTGCGAATCCCCCCCCCCTGCCACTTTATTTACCCCCTAATGGCGGTTTCATCCCGGCCGCGGTGGCGATCACTGCTCGTTTCTCGATTGGTTCCCGATGACGTCATGTCGACAAGTCGCCGCTGCTGGCCCGCCTGGCCGTGGCGCCTTTTGGTTCGAGTGCCCTAATGCGTCTTGGATTGGCGGGGGGGGGGGCACTCTGCATGCAGTAGTGGCTGGAGCACACCCCTACCATCAAACATCCCCCCTCCCGCCCGAAAAAATCTTATTCTTTCCATCAGGAATTGTGTGAGCATTTTTCTCCCCCGCCGGGTGGCACCAAGGGGTTTGCAGGGGGCGCTGCGCTGCGGGGGTGGGAGTGGGGGGGGTGTCGCCTCCACTGATGAGATTACCACCCTTCAGGCCTTCAGGTCCGCCGGCTTCGGGACGTTGGGGTGGAAGGCCTGTCTCGGGCATTATTACTTTTAATTGAAATAGACTTTTAATTCCACCTGCTCCTTGCTGGCCGTCCCGCCGCGACGCCCGCCCTGCCCGCCCTGCCCAGCAGGTGGCGCTCGGACGCGGCGACGCGGGTGGGGGATGGACCGCAGACCCAAGTCTGCACATTTCAGGACTTTTAGAGATTCAAGTCAGCCGAAATCACGATGTCCGTCACCGTTTCCAGAAAATTTACGACAATCCTGTTCTCAGACCATTCTTATTCACACACACATTCACCAGCTCGCTTTGACTTTCACTCAGTGCTCAGGCAAACATGCGAGCAAACGCGTGTATTCAGTAGTATCGTGGATTTCGGCTTATTAATGGGCATACTCGGGCAAACTTATTCTCTGAATATTTGTAACTTAACAACTAGGCCCCTACTCCCTCGGTATTGACCACCAGTAGAACAGTCGCTCTTGATTTTAACTACTGGAATAACCGCCGGCACGGTTTTTAGTTTTTTGTTTGCTCCGACGCACGCATGGCGCATTGCTCAACGTTCGACTGAATGGCGTCCTAACTTGGAAGCCTCGCTCGCCGGGCCGACCCAATTAGCTGGAGTGCATGACGCAGCGCGGTGCCAAGCCGCAGCAGGGCCGCGGGGACGCCCCACAGCCCCGCCCCGCCCCGCCCCGCCCCGCCCCGCCCCGCCGACGCAAAGCGTTCCAACGCGAAGCCGTGGCAAAGCCTGGTGGCCTGGACGCCCCGAATGCGAAAAGCATCCGGGCGGTGAGTCCACTTTAGTCCTGGAAACTGTGCTCTCTATCGGAAGGGCTCGCGGCGCCACCACCACCACCACGGTGGCGGTGTAGTGGTCGCCCGCCCCGCCCCGCCCCGCCCCGCCCAGGCCACAGCGCGAGGGTCTGCCTGGCGTCCAGCCAAGGCGGGACAAGGCCTTGGGACGGGGCCAGAGGATGCGCCACGCCGCGCCACGCCGCGCCACGCCGCGCCACGCCCGGGGCGGGGACTTCGGAGGGAGGGGGGGGGGACTCTCACCTGAGTGAGCCCGCCGCATTGGGGTGGCCGTGTGTGTAGCGCGGCGGTCCTCGTGATTGGATTGGCGAGGAAGCTGTGCTCAGCGGCGGCAAGGCGAGCCCAGGCCAGCCTCGGCCAGCCGCCCGGAGAGAGGATAGTTTCTGAGAAGCGCAGCCAGGCGAGTCTGCAGACTGATTCCGTCGCCCCCACTGGCAGCCCATGAGTTCGAGAGAGACGAGGCGGCGAAACCGACTCTCGGAATGAGTCTGCTGGCGAGTCCGCGGGGCCGCAGGACTGGCAGGACACACCAAAGAAAGACGCCGCTTTTCCGGAAGCCTCACTGCCCACAGTTTTTCCTCCGTCGCACCCGAAACGGAACGCGCGACTGCGCGACGCCCCACGAGTGCGTGGTGGTCCGGCCAGGTCGCCGTTTCCGCGGCGCTACAAATTCATTTCCGGCCGGCTTGCCACTTTGACCTTCTCGCTGCGATTGTGCGCCCCTCCCCCTCCCCCTTTCTCGTGCTGCGCGAACGTCTTCCTTAATGAGAGACTTGAGCGCTATTATAGTGATGACTTCCGGGGCGCCGCCCGCGCCACCGCCCGGCGAAAGAGGGAATCGACCACGGACGGACGGACGGACAGACAGACAGACAGACAGACAGACATTCCAGTTTGTGAAATGTTTTCAGTTGACACGGGGGTTCGTCTTGGCGTGGCACGGCGTGGCGCGGCCAGGCGCTAGCCCGTAATGGCAATGGTAATGCTGGCGTAGGCAGCGCGACGAGCAGCGTAGTAGGGCGTGTTGCCTACCCTCGGCTCTGCAGGCGCGCTCCTCGCTGCCTTGACTGCCACGGCGCGGCCACGGCGCCGCGGCAGACCGACCCGAAGCGCACCCCCGTCGCTCCGTCTCCCTCGCACCGCGCACCGCCCAGGAACGCCCTTGGAGTGCGAGGGAGACGGAAGCCTGCCGCGTTGTTTGGTGCGGTCTCTCGAATTTGCTGGCTGGCGATGCCACCGCAAGGTACACTGTGAGCCACCCCTGCGGGGGCTGCGGTAGGCGGGCCGTGCTGACACTGTGCGCGGCGCGCCTGAGGCCGGGAGGGGGCGGGGGTTGGGGTTTTGGGTTTGGTCCCCGACGCACAGCAAGTCGGCTAAAGTATGAGGGCGGTGGGTGCATGGCGTCGGGCCGTCGGCGCCAGAGCGTGGTGGGGGAGGGGGCGGCCCGGGGCGGCCGCAAAGCAAGCGTGAGTGGGTGCCGTTTAGTGCGAGCAATCTCCACTTTTACTTAAAGTTATAGCGCCTGTCGAACGGCCCGGCCTGGAGGAGACTGTGGCGCCGCGCGGCGGGGAAAAGGCAGGGCCCCGTCGGCAGGGCCCCGTCGGCAGGGCGGCCGCCACAGCTTGGCCCCGGCCTCCGCCTCGGCCTCCGCCCCGCGCGCCGACGCGACGCCGCCAAAGTTGTTCTCCCCTGTCTCTGAATTTTGAACAGGCCAGCCGGCGTGCCGTGGTGCCGCGCCCAGCGGGGCCGGAATTAGTGTCGAAATTAGCAGTGTTTGCATCCCCAGACACGTCGCGGGGAGGGGAAGGGGGGGGGAGGGCTGCCCGGAGGCAGCGAGGGAACTGCACTGCGAACGAGGATTCCGGCCAAGCAAAAGTCGCCTGGATTTTGCCTCTCTCTTTTTTGGCCAACTTCTTTCCGCGGCGATGGAGCGAGCGACGGCTCTGTGGCGGGCCGGCGGGTCGTCGCTGGTCTGCCGTCTCCGTCGCTCTCGCGCGCCGAGTCGGGCGCAAGGCGGGCACCGCGCGCGCCTTCTCTGTCCTTTATTTTGGCGGACGCCGCCATGCTTTTGCTTTGTTATTTATGAGAAAGTATGGCAAGCGTTAGCCCTAGTGCCCCTGCTTGGTATGCAACCCGGCTGTCCACTGCCAAGTCAGGTGCTGCGGGCTGCCTGGCTCGGCTCGGCTCGGCTCGGCCTCA